TGCCTGACCTGTACCCGCCACCAGCCGCGCCCGCCTGCCCGCCGCCCAGCCGCGGCCCCGCCGCCGCCACCGCAGCAGCAGCCGCCCCCTCCGCGCTTGGCAGGCAGCAGAACAGCAGCAGCTCAAACAAAGGAAGGTCCAATAAGAAGCTGCTGCCTTTGCCGGCCGACGCCGCAGCTGGAAGCGGCCCCGCCTGCTGCCCGACTCCTGGTGCAGCCCCTGACGGGCCGGCAGCCGCCGCGGCTGCGTGCGCGGCCGCAGAGAGGGCGACGCGAGTGGCACTTGAGGAGGCGCGCGCGCGGGGGCCGACCGAGGGGCTCAGGATGTCGTCGACGAAGCTGCGGTGAAGCTGCAGGGCGTCCGACAGCAGCTGGTCGGCGGCTTCCATCAGCAGGTCTGCCTGCGAGGTTCGAACCGGATCGACGACATGTGAGGCCGGGCTTCATTGTGCATCTGTTCATCATGGGCAGGTGCACAGCAACCGCCGAAGCATGTCTGCGTCGTTTGGATGCATTTGGATGCATTCAAGCACCTGCAGGCAGTGGCAGCCTGACGGTCAAAACACGCTAGGTTGTACACGAGTGCTGGAGTCAGGCGCTGCAGGCGGCCGCAGGCGCGCGCGCGCCTGCCAGGGCGAGAGCCACGCCTGCACGCCAGCCGCGTGCGCGGTTGTGTGTGCCGCCTCGCTGCCCGGTACCGAGGGCTCGTTCAGTATCTGTGTGGCCAGCTGGGCCACCAGGTGGCGCGCGCGCAGCAGCGGCACGAACGGCTGGCAGGACGGCAGGGAGGACAGGCCCTGCGGCAGGGCGCTGCGAATGAAAGGGGGACCGCGCAAGACAGCGCGACGCGCGGCCAGAGTTGAGTGGATCAACGAGGAGGGTGCGGGCGCAACGGTCGACAGCGCAGGCAGCGAGTGAGGTGCGTGGCGGAGACCGTGCGGCGAGACTACTCACTTGGAAGTTGCCAACTTGCCACCCGCGCCCCGTGCTTGCTGGTGACCAGCCGCCGCCGCGGCCCCTGCGCCCGCCCCGACTCTGCTGCTTCTCGCCGCCGGTGAAGATGCTGCCGACTCATTTGCGCCGCTCCTGGCCGCCGCCGCCGCCGCCCCAGCGCCACTCCCCGCGGCCAGCAGATACTCCAAATCGTCCGGGTGCAGCCACAGGGCTGCATACGGCGCGAGCACGTCCGAAGCCGCGGCTGCGGCCGTTGAGGCAGCGCCGCCGCTGGCTGCCGCTGCAGATGCGGGGTGTGAGTGTTGCTGGAAGAACACCTCCGCGTCGGCTGAGGCGTGCAGCTGGCGGACCAAGCTGCTGTAGCAGCTGGTCTCATACCTTGGGGATTGCATGGGGCACGAGGGGAAGTGGAAGGGTCAGAATCACACATGAGTTGCGGGAGGGATTTGGCAGGGGGGGGGACAGAGGTGCAAAAGAGGTTCTGGGAGGGGCACTAGGCGGGGCAGTGCAGGGCAGGATATGGCACTGAGTGGTGTGGGGTTAGATGGGGACAAGACAAAGACCACGAGGCTCCTAGGCTGACGAGGCACCACGCGTTGTTGAGGGCCACCCTTACATGTCAAATACGCGTGCCACGTATCCCAAAAGGTGACAGCGAGGCGCGGGCATGCGACAGCACAGACGTGCGGAGTGCATGTGTTGTGGGTTGCGGGACACCACAACTCACTTCCGCGCCCCGCCCTGCGCCGCCATCGCCCGTGTCGTACGCGTCGTGCAAAAGCGGAAGTAGAATCAACCTCATCCCACCTGACGCCGATATGCAGGCCCTCCATGACTCCCACGAGCTCGTGCCGCCCGCCTGGCCCCGGCGCCAGCGGCCCGCTGCGCAGCGCGCCCCCGCCGCGGAGCGCCGCGACGGCCACCAGCTGTGGGCAGCGCACCGACAGCGTCGGGATGAAGGAAGAGAGCGCGTAGGGCAGCGGGACGCCGTGGCGCTTGTACGCCTGCACGACAACCTGCCAGCGGTTGGATGGCGGTTGAGTGGCAACAGGAAAAATGTGGGGCAGTGAGGGACCCTGTCGGGACGCCAGGGAGTGAAAAAACACTGGTTCTACATGGCAGGGTGCTGATTGGTGCGGAATGCAGCATGGCTGCCGATGCTTTTGTAGCCCCTGGATCCTACCCGCCAGCAGATGCGAGCCAGCATATGCGTGCACCCCAGGTGCTGACCACAAGGCCGCCGCGCCAGCCGCACCTGCTGCAGCGCCTCCGCCTCCTGGAGCGCGTTGTCCCTGGCCGGCAGGCCCGCCTCGAAGCAGGCCTTTACGCGCTCTATAAACCTCAGCGCCTCGCTCAGCGACGACGGCTGCATCCGCAGCAGCACGGGTGCGAGCGCCAGCCGCGCATGTGGGAGGTAAGAAGACACGAGGGAGTCTGCATACACCTGCCCAGGCTGCTGCAGTCCCGCGCCGCTGCGGCCGCCGCCGTCCCCTCCAGCCGCCCAGGCCCAGTCTTCGAGGTCGTGGGGGCCTGCTCCAGGGCGCGCCGCGGCCGGCTGCGGCTGCGGGGGCGGGGGCTGGGCTGGCGGTGGTGGCGGGCCGAACTGGCAGCAGTAGGTGGCCCGGAGCGCCTCTGGCATCGGCATCTGCAAGACCTGTGGGGAGGGGCGGCGGGCGAGGCGTGCAAGCACAGCGCAGTCCGTAACTCTGGCATAATCAATCCCTGCTAGCTATGAGCGCGGTGCGGCTTTCCCAGCGTGCGGCAGCGTGGAGATGCTCCTCAAGACTTGCTGCAGCAAGGGAAGGGACGCCATAAGGGCCGGCCATAGAACAGCGCCGCACCTGCGTCGCCCCGTCGGCGGCGTTGGCGCCGCCAACCGCGACCACAGCCGCAGTCGCCCGTGCGGCGCCGCCGCTGGCGGCCTCCAGCAGCAGGCCGTGAACCTGGCCCGACAGGTGGGACCCCCGCTCAGGGTGCACCAGCGTAACGCCCAGCGCGGGGCACGAAACAGTCACCGCCCACTCTGTGGGTAGGGGCGTGACGAGAGGCGAACGAGCGCGTCGGCGGCACGCTGAGCAAACAAGCTTTGGCAGCAAGTGAGAGGCCTGCGGTGTCATCCTTTGCGGGAATGACGGATGGTATCCCACATGGTCGACCCCCGCAGCGCGGGCACGCACCCGCTAGCCCTCCGCCTCCGCGCTCCGCGCCCTGCGTGGGCACGAGGTCCAGGAAGCTTCCCAGCGCGTCCATCGCCTCGAGCCACTGCGCCCTCAGCCCCGGCGACGCCGCCAGGTGCGCGCTGTGGCGGGCGGCGACGAAGACGCGGTACAGCGAGACCTGCGACGGCGTCATGGCGCGCTCCAGGACGCGCAGGCGCGCCGCGGCCGCCGCCGCTGCGCGTCGCGTGCAAGGGATAGGAGAACAGAGGGATCACAGCGACTCTCTTGACGCGGGCTCACGGAATTCGTGGGGCCTGTTGCTGCGGAGTGCAGACGAGCACAGGCGCAGCTCAACTCAATTATGCCCCCCATCTGCTGTTCTCTGTAGTTGCAGGTAGTCCGACTGCTGCCGCCGGCTCTAGCCCTGTCCATGGTGGAGGGAAAGTTCACCTGGAATGTGCACAGTAGATCCCCGCTGCAGCCCGCGAGGGTCCGCTATAAACTCAGCCGGCTGTGCCGCGTGCACCGCGCGGTAAAGCAGCAGGTACTCGCGCCGCCGCAGCAGCGCCAGCTCAGCGCGCCGCACCGGCAGCCGTCGCCGGCACTCAGCGACGACCGCCGCGCCGGCGTGGCGCCACCAGAGCGCGGGGGCCGCGCGCACGGGGACTGAGGGGCGCGCGGTCCAAAGCGGCGCAAAACGGCTGTACGCCATCCACCTGCGTTGGCGGGGGCGACACACGATGCGGATGGTGCCCGCGCGATCAGCATGGCCCACCGCGGACGCACCAGACTTCAAAAGGGCGGGTCTTTTGCCCGCCACAGCCGCCAGCCAGTGTGCGCATGGGCGGCGCCCACCTGCTGCCAACGCATTGCATTCAAACGCCCACCTGTTCATCAGCCGTAAGAACACCGCGGCCGCCTCTGGGGATGCCTCCAGCACCAGGCTTTTCAGGGACACCGCCGCCGACAGGTGGCACCCGCCGTCCGCGTCGGCGCCGTCCGCGGCTGCATGCCCCCGCGGCTGGTGCCGCTGCTGCTGCTGCCCCGCCGCGCCGCCGCCTAGGGTCGACACAACGAGCCGCAGCGCCGGCGCAGCCCGGCGCTGCTCCCGCGCCAGGCCGCCGCGCTCCTCCCGCCCTGGAGGCTGGGCCGCCGCCCCTGAGCCCTCCTCCTGCTGCTGCTGGTGCGCGGGCGGGTTTCCTGACACTGTCAGCGTGACATGAGCAAACCACTGCCGCAGCACGACCAGCTCGCAGTCCCAGCCATCTCTGCCTGGCTGCGCGTCGCCAACGTCGCACCCCGCGGAATCCCATTGCTCCTGCTGCGGCTGCTGCCGCCGCCACTCGCGCGCGGCCTTCGACGCAGGCGCGACGGCGCCGCCGGGGCCGCCCGCCGGCCGCAGCGCACGAGTAAGCAGGCTCGCGCTGACGCCCTCTAAGGCAAAGCACGTCGCAGCCTGCCCGCCAGCGCGACCGCTGGCGCCCGCCACGCCCCCAGTCGGTGCCGGCGTCCCCGCCGCCGCAGCCCCCGGCGGCGAGAGGCGCGCGAGGCGCACGCCGACGCGCAGCGCGTCGGCGGTGCGCGCCTGCTGCCCGACGCACCAGGGTCCCACGTCGCCCTCCTGGGTGTACTGCAGCTCGGCATCCGCCACCTCAGCAACCACCGACCTGGCCGCCGCCGCGAGTGCGCCCCGCAGGAGCGCGCGCAGCGGGCCGGCCCAGCGGCTGCGGCGGCGGCCCGGGGAGCCGCGCCACAGCAGCTGTTCCAGCAGGAGGAGCTGCTGGCTGTGGAGCAAGCCGGCGTCCTGCGCATCTGCCGGTGCGCCGGGCTGTGCACCCAGGTGAGGGAAGCAGGGGTAGGGGCGCACATTGTTTGGTCGAACGGCTGCCCGCAAAACCGGACGACCCTGGTGCGGCAGTTATCGCCTGGAATCACTCCTGCGCTGGCCGCAATTTCGTTCAATGTTTGGCTGCTATGCATTACCAAGTTGTTGCAGCCTGCCCTGCGCAGGCGTGAAGGGCCATTGCCCCTCATCACACACACACACAGACACATACACATACACACACATGCGAGCGTGTGTGCTTGCGCACGCGCACCTTGGGCGCTTGCCGTTGCAGCAGCTCTACGCTCAGGCCGTGGGCCCTGAGCAGCAGCGGGCTGTTCCGCCCCGGCCACCGCAGCTCGGCCTCCCGCACCAGCAATCTTCTGAGCAGGAGCGGGCCGCCGCTGTCCCGCAGCACGGACGGGTCTAGCTCAAACCCCTTGACGAGGATTCCTGCATTGCAGGTGCGCAAAACAAGGGTGCGCAAAACTCGTAAAAGCTAGATGGGCGCATGCTCGGCATGCTGCCCATGACCGTGGCTGCATGCTTCTTAATTGCACAAGCAACTATCAAGGAATTTTGAGTCGTTTGAGGGGCGCTCTTCTCCAGCCCCAGCGACCCACCATGCGCAGTGGCGACAACTCGCAGACCCCCATCAGTGCCGCCGTCGGGTGATAATGTCGCCAGCCGACGCCACAGCCATGCTGCCAGAACCCGCGACACCGCTTGTGTGTGCTGCTGGACGACCACGAGGAGCCCCGCCGCCACGACAAGCCCGGCGAGCAGCGCTGCGCCGGAGGGCATGGTTGCCGCGAGCGCCAGCACCGCCGGAATCGCCATAGCTTCGATTGCTGCCAGAAGCGTCTCCTGGCAGTCGATTCATAGGCTTATGTCGGGCTTTCCATTGCGGCCTGGGGTGCAGTGGACCGCGGTTGGTCTCAACGACGAGATCAACACGCAATATCGTGATGAGCCCAATTATAATGGCGATATATTGGTACGCGTTATTGTATGTTGGGGTTGCAAGGGCTTCACTCTGCTGCGCCAACAATGTTGGAGCAGGATCAGTGCAGAGCGGAGACCACGTTGTGCAGCCGTCATAAATCGTCTTTACAAGAGCATTCGTCTCCTTTTAAATGGCGACGGGCCAGTTCGCCCGACCGAACGGGGGGGCAGGACCTGTTGGGTGCTGGTGAGGTGTGGTCGAGTGACGCCGTGCAACTGCATCAACAGGTTTGCCAATCGCCCCGCTCGGACCAGGGTGCCGCTGCTTATTATGGTCTTGTAGCCACAACTGATATGAACGGCCCCGCGGCAGCCTGGTTGGTTGCAGTGGGACTGCAGTAATTCAGTGTCACGCGTGCCTAGGATGATGCCGCAGACAGATTTCGAGTCGTTGCTGAAACGTGTAACAGGGGTGATGTCAGTGGTGGGTTCCCATAGTCCCAAGCATTCTACGATCGCCATCGCATGCATGCATTTGAAAAGCTCAAGGGAGGTGATTGGCGACACGGGGTGGTGGTTTCATCGGCGCCGGTAGTTGCTGCGGTGCACTTGGTTGTTCGTCAGACTGTAAACCAGAGGATGCAGGCTGTGTGCAACAATCTGCTAAGATGACAGGGCATGTAGCCATCCAGAGTCCCCCATGCTCCCTTCAAACGCCAACTTTGCCAATGCCTCCTCTTTGCCCCATCCGCAGGTGCATGGGCTGGCTGGAGCGCCTCCACGTAGAGGATTGTGCCGCCGGTTTCGACAAGCACTGGGCGGTCAAGAAGGCTGGCATTGCGGCGGGCTTCCGGGGCATCACCGACCCCGCGGCGGGGCCGGCGCAAATCCTGCTGCAGGGCTTGGGGCCTAAGCTGCTGCGTCCGCTGGCCAGCAGCTTCTGCTGCGTTGAAGGCTGGTCGTGCGAGGCACCTCGGCAGTGGAATTTGGATTCGTCCCAGCGGGCATGCAGGTGCGGAGCCGCAGGGTTCCAGAGCTGGAGCAGGTCATTCATGGGCTTGGGGTTGGCAGCCCGGTCGAGGCAGAAACTTGAATATTGATAGCCGACGACCTGGCTTCTGCACAGCCGCAATTCGAACGGCGATTCAGCGTGTGCTCGCACATCTTCGCCACCGTCGCCCTTGAGGCGTCCCGCAGCCCCCGCACGCCTGCCGCCCCTTCCTGGCCCATCGCTTGCAGCGCCTTGCAGCACACGCCTGACTCACGCAGCCCCACAAAACCCACCAACAAACCCTTCAATCCCCAAACCCACCCATCATGTCCCAACGCACTCCCCCAACCAAACCCTCAACCCACAAACCCACTAGACCCCCATCCGACCAACCCACCACCACCCTACGCACCATCTAGCCAACCACCTCAAAACCCTGACCCCCCAGGCCGTCCTGCAGCTGACGACGTCCACCACCGGGTGGGTCGCGCCCTCAGTATACAAGGGGCTGGGTGTCGCAGCCGCAGGCAGTCAGTGGTGCGCCAGCGCGGCCCAGCGCTGAAGAACAGATATCTCTTCGAAATTACCTCCCGCCGACGGTGGGGAACATCCCAACACATAAGGGGAAAGTCAAGAAGAGAGTCAAAGGTGCCCGCTTGGCACTGGTGGTGGCGGAATTGTGTTGGTAGAATGAGCTGGTGCTTGGGTGGGGTGGGGCCCAGCCCGTGTATGTCCTCCTGCCTCAATCCTAGCCGCTTGGCGCAGCTGAGCATGCAGCCGGCTTGGATCTGGACTAACACGCAGCACAGCAGACCTCAAGCATGTAAGTGGCACTAAGTCATAGATAAACTGCAACGTAGCATGCATTCAGTGACGAGTCCGTAATCGTGAGGCGCCCGCAGTGGGCACCACCGCAGACACCGCACGCGGCAGATGTGGCAGGCCGCAGTATGCTCAAAGCGATTGGGGTATCCCCGCCCGTACCCGTTCGACCGTCCCTTGCGTATGGCACAAATACGTATCATACACACACTGATATGCAGTATTGCATGCTGCTGCACACGTGTGTGTGCCACTATAGTGTTGCTTGTTGAGAGGCAAATCCATAATGTTGCTTCGGCTTTGGTTGGGCTCCGTTGACAAAAAATGAGTATCTGAAAGCGTTCTGACAGGGCAAGATCATACTTTTCGCGATACCACGATTGCCGGCCCAGTAAACTCATATGGAAGAATAACACAGCCTTAAATAGGATCAGGAGGCGCGAGCACAGCCATGAGCCTGGACGCAGCGCTCCGCGAGGCCGCCTCTAGGCGGCAAGCGACCGGCACCGCCCCACACACCGGCGGCATGGGCGGCCTGCGGCCCCAGTTCAGGGAGCTCGACCGCCTTGCCGCCTCGCGCGGCGCGCACGTCTCACCGGAGGTGGTGTCGGAGCTCGCACAGGCGCTGGCCGCAGCGCCGCTCGACATGGCCCGCTACGCCGGCCTGGGCAACGCCCTTGTGTGGCTCTCCGCGCAGCCTCGCCTCGCGCCCGCCGCCGCGACGCCCGCGACCGTACGTGCGCTCGCCGAGGCCGTCGCCACAGCGGGGCGCGCCGCGGCCGCCGCGCCCCCGTGGGAGTCTTGCAGGGAGGCGGCCGCGGACATCTGCCCCTGCTGCCACCCCCATGGGCCGCACGTGACGCTCGCCCAGCACGCGGCGCTGCTGGGCGGCGCAATACTGGCACGCAGGGCGCCAGACATCGACCTATTTGCCTTGATGCTTCAGGTGCGCGGCGCCGCGATCTTCGTCTAATGGCAGCCTGCGCCAGCGACAGCCAGCTGTCGATTCAAACAAGCAAGCAGCGCGACTTCGCCGGACGCCCAGCCCCTCACCCGGCCCCCTCCCCCGCCCGCACGACCCAAGGTACCCGGGGCGCTGCCCGGCCTGCTGCGCGCCGCGCAGCTAGACAGCCCCTTTCATTTCGAGCCCTTTGCTGTGATCGCGGTGCACCTGACAGGCCCCGACTACGCCCGCACGGCCAGGCTCACCGCTGCGTTGGGCGCGGCGCTCTTGCGGGAGCGCGCGGGGCGCCTGCTTTGGGCCGCCGTTGCCGCGCGGCTCGCGGCCGCGGCGCGTGCGGGGGCGCGAGATCGCACTGCGGAGGAGACCACCGTGCTCGTCACAGCGATCCAGATTGCGATTGATGGCGAGGGGCACAGACTGCTGTTTGGTGACCTGGCGTCACACGCGCCCGCGCTGCGCCAAGTCTTCGCTTTGCTGACAAACCGCGTCCGGCCCGGCGGCGGTGGCCGCCGTTGGGCTCCCGGAGACGAGGACGTCGTGCGCTGCTGCCTGAAGCTGCTGCAAGGCGCGTCCGACGCCGACCCCGACGCGATGCGGGCGGCCGCGGGCAGCGCCGCAGCGCTGGAAGCGTCGCTTCTGGCGGTGCTGACGGGGGCGCCCTCCCTTCTGGAGGCCGGCGGCCACTCGGCGTGCCCCGCCCTCGCCGCCGGCCTGCTGCTCGACGCCGTGCGCAATACGGCGGCGTCCCCCGCCACGCGGCCGCCGCCGGTCGTGTCGGCGCCGGGCTCCGCGGCGGCCGTCGCCGCCGCGCTGCACGCGGCGTGGGGCGCCAAGGGCCGCGCGAGGGACGCCGACCGCGCAAACCTGCTTCACAATGTGGCGGCGCTGGCGGCGTTCTGCATCGCCGTCGACCGCGGGGGCCTGTGGGCGCTCGAGCTCGCGGCGCCGACGCGCGGCGCGCTGCGCGTGTTGGTCGACGCCGCGCGCGACGGCACCGCTGCGTTTGCGGCGCCGGGCGGCGGCGGCCGCCCCAGAGGTCACCTCTCACCCATCGGCCCCGCATCCCTGAGCGCCCAGGTTGCCGGCGCGCTCGGCGCCGTCGCCTATGCGCTCAGGGACCCCTGCACGGCGCCCGCCGCGGCGGCGGCGGCGGCGAGGGGCGCGGCCGCGGAGGCGCTGCCTTCGGATGCGGAGCTGCGGGCTCTTGTGTGGGGCGGACTCGCGGCGGGCGGCTTGGAGGGGCTGAGCCGGGCGCGCATCGTGGCGCTGAGCTCGCCCACCGCACAACACGACCTGGCCGCGACGCCCGGCGCGCTCGCCTGGCTGGCGGCGTCGGCCATCGGTGGCGCGGGCGACGCCAGCCCCGCGGGCTCGATGTCGGGCGCAGCGCTGCAGCTGCTGCACATGATCGGAGGCGGCGATCCGAGCCTGCCGCCCGAGCGCGGCTGCATGCGGTGCACGGACGAGGACTGCGAGGAGGCGACCTGCTGCATGAACTTTCGCGCGCCGAACGCAGCCGTCGCGCGGGAAAGGGCTGCCCTTGCCCTGGGGGCCATTGCCAAGTCCGAAAGCGGCGGCGGGGACGAGCGGGGCGGCGCGACCCCGGCCGCGAACGCCGCCGCGGCGCTGGAGGCGCTGCAGGCCGGGCGGCTGCGCGGCGGGGCCGCGAGCGGCCTGGGGGGCGGCGCCGGCGCGGCGGTGGGGGCGGCGGCTGCGCCGGCGGCGGGGCGGAAAGCGGGGACCTCGTGCGCCGCCTGCGGCGCAGGCCAAGCGCAAGACGGCCTGAAATTCAAAAAGTGCGGCGCCTGTGGGATACCGCGGTGAGTGCAGGGCAGCCTCGGCCCTTGTTGTCCTGGCCCTCCCCCCACCCCTATCACCTTTAGTCACTGCACTGAATGGCCTCATCATCGCTACGGCAGGGCTGGTTTTGACCTTCGATGTCGTATCAACTCTCCCCCGCCTGGCGGCGTGGGCCGAGCCGCACACCACTGGGCGGGAGGGTTGGAGCCAGGGGGAATGAGGGCCGCAGCGCTGCACGTGCTGCATGCACAGCGCACATGCAGCGCCCAGAGGCACAGATTAGGATGCTCATCTGGGTGTGCGTATGGGCACGTATCAAATGCAGCTCAACATTCACGTATGTACACGCGCGCGTGCGTGCGCGTTCATGCACGCAGGTACTGCGGCCCTCAGTGTGCCAAGGCTCACTGGAAGGCCGGCCACAATAAAGAGTGCTCAGGCAGCAGGGGCGCGACAGCCGGCCAGGGCGGAGGGGGCGCAAGCGGCAGCAGCGGCGGCGCCGGCGCGCCTAAGGCCGCAGTACAATCGTAGCGAGGTCGCTGGCTCGCAACGTTCAGCCAAATCGCAAATGTTCAAACCTGAAATTTAATATGCATGTTTCAAACGTCTCAGCCCAATGTCTTTGGGGGGGGGCTGCTACAGTTGCAAGGAGCGGCTGTCCTCGGGCTGTGCACGTGTGGCAAGCCGCGTCAGCGATTGCAAACACAAGCCCGGGCATCAAGCCAAGTTGGCGCAGCAGGAAGCGGCCTTCGCTACTGGCTGCACCCGGCGCTGAGGCTGCGCGTGCCATCAGCAGCAGCAGGTGGGGTGCAGGCGCAGAAGGCGCAGGCTGTGTCGTGTGCCCGACAACATCAGCTCGCGCGCGTACGGCACCAGGACGCCTGCGGCGCGCAAGGTGCCGGGACTCCTTGCTGATGCTGCCGGCAGCTCTTCCTTCCAATAAGCAACCTTGCGAGGTTGGCGACAGAACCTGCCCGTGTGCAGGAGTGCATGCTTTCCTGCCTGGCGGCGCGCACGGGCCTGTGTAGGCTGGTATACAAGCAGAGTGTGCTGATATGATAATTGCCTTTGCATGAACGACTCGCGAAGGTCCTGAGCATCTGTGGCCAGCCTGGTGACCGGAGGGGACCACCGGGGGCCGCGCCTGGGGGCCGGGCAGGTAGGTGCGGGAATGAGTGCCGCAGAGGTTCGCTGATCTGGCTGAAGACGGGAAAATAGGCATGTCCAAGCGCGGGCAAGTGTGGTGGGGTCATGAGAGTGCGCCCTGCTGCCCCGCCACTCGCAACCCGCCCGCGGGGCGGCCCTGGCGACACCTGGCCGCCGCGTCACTGCAGTGGCCAGCCCCCCCCCCTTTTTTGCGGACAACGCCTCCCTGTGGGCCACAAGCTCATAAGAAGACGGCAGCGGGCGGTCAAGCAGTTAAAAGGGCCGTTCCCACGGGCGTCCCCGTTTGTTGCTTGAGCGCCCGCTGCAGCGGCTGATCATGGGCCCTGTGCTGCTGTTGGAGCGGTCAGGGTCGGTACATCAAATGATTGCGTTATGGCTGCTGCTGCAACTTTGCTGAAAGCAACAGCCCGGGTGGGCGGAGGGGGCTCACCCGCGCAGTCCTGCGGGCCCAGCTTGAATAACGCTTGCTCGCATTGCTTACGTGCGGGGCAGTGCGGTTGCAGGGCGTTGAGGCAACTTTCAACAGGCAGTCAACGAACGTTCAGCAACAAAGGCAAAGGATCCACAGGCGCATGACTCGCGTACGACAATGATATATCTCCTGATTCGTGGCTGTGAACTGCACTCGTATCGCCCAATTTGCCTGAAAATTGTTGCACCTGGCCGCCTTGCTGGCAAGTGATGCAGCCAGTGAGGTGCCCCCGCGCGAGGCCGTTCGGACAGCTCGCAAGAGTTGTGCAAGTGACAGTTCATTAGCATGTTATTAACTCCGAATGGTATGCCTCAGCCAGGCCTCACCTGGATCCGATCTCCGACAAGCTGTCGACACAGTGCCCCGCGAGTATTCCGGTGAGCAATAGAGCCACGTACAAACGCACGCCTGAGCAGATTGATTGCCGTGTGCCTTTGGCAGCTGACGCCACCGCAGCGCAGCGCACTTGAACCAGCCGCATGCACGCACTTGCAGGAGAGCAAACGCCGACAAGCACGCTGGGGCGGGTGTCAGGCATACACTTATGCCCCTCTTTGGTTTGCCGTAGCTGAAATTTGCATGCCATGAGGACCATCACATCCGTCAGCGCTGACTCATCTACCACCTGCGCACACCCCTGTACGCTTTGCACCGGAGGGTCGAGACCACCAACAGGATGTGTTTCACAAAGCCAATCACAGGCGCCATGCTGGCCCTGAACCTGGGCACGGGCCTCGTGCTTGTTAAGAGGGGACGCCCCTGGCAAATGACCCAGGTGTGCGGGCTGCCACTGGCGCCGTGGTGGGTGATACCTTGATGCAGGCTTGCAAACTCCCGACGACCGTGGTGCCAGTCCATTCTCGCCCTCTGGCTGGCTGCTGCACACCCCCGGCCCCTCATCTGCTTTTGCAGCCACACTGACAAGTTAACCAATTAAGCAAGCAACAGCTTGCCACCCTGCCTGCCCTTTCCAAATTGCACCCAGGCTTTCTTTGTTTTCGCACTCATGGAGCTGCTACAGTTGCTAGGACACTTTGTTGCAGACGACTGCTCCAGCCGCGCCAATCAGCTGATCACCATCGTGAGCATCTTGATTTGGAAGGATGACAGCTGCTGCAATATTTCTTCCCATTGTCGACCCATTGATTGTTCAAGAATGGCATGCTATACACATCGTTCCCCTTTGCGGACACGGCTAACAGCATTCATCTCCGTCAACAGGAAGGCACCCTTGACCTCAATTACGTGCCCTCCCCCTGTCTTGGAATCAACTCCCTTCACTGCATCGGGTTCACTGCATTCACTCCCTTCACTCCCTTTAATCCACCCCCCTCCCCAAACGCACACACACACATACAGCTGTCATACCTGCACATATGCTTCCAGCCCGTCAGCATCACCACCTACATCCTGCGCCTCGAGCCCAACAAGGACGTGGCGCGCCTCGCAGTCCGCCTGGGGCTGCTTGCCGGCGCCCTGGGCGCCCTGCGGCTGCCTTACCTCGGACTGGGATACATACCGGACTGGTTCCGCCTCAGGTGGCTCCCTGGCCTGCCAGACCCTGCGCAGGCAGGCGGCGCCGCAGTGTGCGGCTGGGAGTTTGCGTGCGGGCCGGTGACGTGCACCTACAGAGGGCCCCTGCACCTGGCGTGGTCGCTGCCGTTGATGGTGCGTGGGTAGGAATACGCGCAGGCGTGACACCTGGTGTCGTAGGCACCAACCAGTTGTTCAAGGGTTGTGTGGGGATTGCACCGGCGACGTGCGATACAAGAGTACCCACCTGCTGCAGCTACCTGGCCATGCGGCAGGCTGCCGCGGCGTGACCGCGGACAGCGCAAAACACCTGGTTGATCAAGCGGCTGCGCTCACTTGGGAGTGCCCTGCGGCAGCCCTGAAACTCTGCCCTGCTGCAACACCCTTGCTCCGCATTTGCGACCTGGCGCCCGGCCAGCCTCCCTCCTATTTCACCCCCAGCGCCGAGTTTGCTCACTTCTTGCTGAGCTTCGGCCCTGCAGTCTTGGCACCTGGCGTGTACGTTTGGGAGCGCACGGCCTTTGCGGCACTCGTGGTCGTGACGGGGCCGCTGATGTCGCAGGCGCTCAGCCACGCGTACGCCATCTCTGGGGGCCGCGCCACCTGGAGGATGGAGTGGCCCGCGATATGGTGCGCCACGCGTGACGCCGTACCACGCAGTCCTCTGTGCTGCCGCTGCTGCCGCTGCTGCCGCTGCTGCCGCTGCTGCCGCTGCCGCCGCTGCTGCCGCTGTGTGCGTGTGCGTGTACGTGTACGTGTACGTGTGCGTGTGCGTGTGCGTGTGCGTGTGCGTGTGCGTGTGCGTGTGTTTGTGTGTGTGTCGCAGATGTTGAAGGGTTTGGGACGAGTATGCAGTGCCGGTCAGGACAGTCTATGTGCAGATGGCAATTACCTGCAGCGCATACGTATGTAGCACTTGAGTGCTCCTGATGGCTGCTCCGTGCCTTGTGACGGCCCCAACCTGCTAACAACCCATCCACGACCCGGCTTGGCCTGTGCACTGCGACCTGGCAGGTGCCTGTATTCAGCCGTGCAGCTGGTGGTTGTCCTGTACTGCGAGGCCCACCTGGCACACATGAACGAGCATCAGGTCGCGCGTGGCGCGCCAAAGCACCTCGAATACCTCAAAAAGGTCCGCCAAGGGGCCCTGTGGGGCCTGCTGCCGGAGGATTGGGATGCGGAAGCTGGGGGCGGCGGGGCGAAGAGCGCCAAGAGGGCACGCCGCGAGAGCAACGCCGTGGGGGTGGATGCTGAGGTGGTGGTGCCGAGGCTTGCGGCGGTGGGCGCATCATCACCGCGCGAGCGGAAGGGAGGAAAGAGGAGGGCTTAAGATCAGCAGCAGTAGGGCCTGGCTGTCTGCTGACTGGACTGTGATTTGGGGATGCGGCGCGGACTGGGACTGGGCAACCTGGCGGTGCTTTTAAGCTGTGCTGCATGCTACAGAGCAGACACGCCCGCTCTGTTTGTTGCGGGCTGTGTGCGCAGATAATGTTCCATGACCAATTCGGCGAACTGCCAGCTGCACAGCGACCCACGTCGGTTCGCTCAGCTCTGCTGTTTAGAGATGTGCTGCATCACCCCATGTGGCCCTGCGCATGCTCAAGGTGCAGGATACGCGTGCTACCCTGCAGTAACAACATGTTCGAGCCTCGCCCTGATCGCACCAGGTGTCCGCAGCTTCATTCTCACGTCACCGGACACGCAGGCACAGCGGCACCCGCCACCTGGGCGTCCAGGTGGAAATCGACCAACGACGCAGCAGTGCCTATATCAGAGCCATACATAGTCACATGATTTTCCAAGCGTACATACATCATTCCTGCTATCGGCAGCGAAGCCACGTACAGCTGACGCGGCAAAAATCACCGCGGGATCCTTGATGCGACGCTGCAAGCAGCCCCTTGGCCTGTGCCTGAGACTTGAGAGGTGTACTTCGAGAGATGCTACGGGTAGTGGCCTCGGCTCGAACGTGGCGTCGCAGTCGTTGGGCGCGTCACGACACAGCAGCAATGCGAGCAGCGCCAGACCTCCACCGGCGATAGCCAAGCTGCTGGTGGTACGTGCGGCGTCCGCGAATGCGTGTAGCAGTGCGTTGCAATTGCCGGCGCACGATCGTGCAGTAGATCACCACGCACACGCCGCGGACGCCCGCCGAGGGACTGATGTCCCCGCGTTGCCATTGGCTCCGCAGGCCAACCGCGGGGAGATTGCGTGCAGAGTGCTGTCCAGCGCCCGCCGCCTCGGTATCCCCACCGTGGCCATTTTCTCGGAGGCCGATCGCCACGCCAGGTGCGCTGCGGCACGGCGCGCGCCGGCGCCTCGCTGCTGGCTGCGGCCGCACGCAAGTGGCCCCCACGCACCTCTTGGGGGCGGGGGATGCCCCTCACGGGTCGATGCGCCGCCCGCCAAAGGCTGCTTAGCCGCCGGCAGGGCAGGGCGCCTTCCAAAACGCAGCTCCACCCGGGGCACTTCTGGACCAATCCGCATATCCTCCAGCTATCTGATCGTCATTTGGGCCCCACCTAATGAGTGGACTTCTTGGCATGTCGTAATTATCATTGTGATCACGGCCCGTCGGCACACGTGCCGAGGACTCACGCATCCGGCTCCCCGTGCACTTGCCAGGCACGTCGCACTCGCTGACGAGGCGTACTGCGTCGGCCCGGCGGCGGCGCGGGAGAGCTACCTGGACGCGGGGGCGGTGCTGGGGGCCGCGCGGCGCGCCGGGGCAGACGCCATACACCCTGGGTGCGGGGGCCGGAGGAGCTCGCTAGCCTGGGGCCGGCCTGGGTGGTTGGCCCAGGCAGCCGCGGCGTGCTTTCTGTCACCACCCTTTGTCAGCCTGCCAAATACACACGTTTCTTGCCATTTGTGCCTGTGGCTCCACTTAGGAAGGGACCATCAACCACGACCCAACACAAGCACGCACGAGCACGTCTCTCTGCACACGCGCGCCCTCCTGCCCCGCAGCTACGGCTTCCTGTCGGAGAACGCCGCCTTTGCCGAGGCTTGCGAGGAGAGCGGCGTCAAGTTCGTCGGCCCGCCAGCCGCCGCGATCCGATCCATGGGGGACAAGGCGGAGGCGAAGGCTGTCATGGCGGCGGCGGGGGTGCCCGTGGTGCCAGGATACCATGGGGAGGAGCAGGCGGAGGAGAGGTGGGCCCTCGTTGTTGTTTGCATCATGATGTGGCAGCATTGTTGTTTGATCAACAGAAACCTGAGGTCCTCCCAATGCCTCTGGCCTTGAATGCTGAATTCTTGTGCACATCACTGCCCAGCCTACCCGAGCCATCCCCCTCTCAGCCAGGTGACCCCACCCCCCAAGCCGCCCACCACCAGCACGAGTCCAACCCATCACACGCCTGCCGCTGGCCCATTGCTTCCTGCCAAGCAGGCTGATCCGCGAGGCGGAGGCGGTGGGCTTCCCGCTGCTGGTGAAGGCCGTTTCTGGCGGCGGGGGCAAGGGCATGAAGCTCGCGCGCAGCAGGGTGAGCGGGCTGTAACACGGCGCATCACCCGCAGCCGGAAACCGTCGCGGGCGAAGTCAACGCAGCTCTTGTGCTTGCAAGGACAGGGCGCCTGTTCCACCAGCCCGCCACGCTCCTGCGCGAGGCCGTTTGGCCGCTGCCCCTAGTCGAAGTATGTGGAGGTTTGACCAGCCGCGTTCGAGGCAGCCCCTGCCCCTTATCACAACCCTTGCTCACGGCGGGGTCGACCGCCAAAGGGGGAGCTGGGGGCGGCGGTGGCGTCGGCGCGGCGCGAGGCCATGGCGGCCTTTAACGACGATAGGCTGCTGCTGGAGCGCTTCATCACGCGGCCGCGACACGTGGAGGTGCAGGTGGGCACACCACGCTCGGTGCCCCTTCTCCTCTGCCCTAGCCGCCACCAACTCGCACCAGGGGTGCCCTGCGGAGCCGAGCTCTTGAAATTGGAGCGCCGTGCGGCCCGCGTTGGGTGTGGCACAGGGCTCGAGTCAAGGGCGTTTTGGCGGCCCCCCAGTGTCCGGCGTCGCGTGCTGGCCGGCCGACCGTTGCCCCTGCCGCCCGTCGCCGCGTCACGGCGCGACAGGTGATGGCGGACCTGCATGGCGGCGCGGTGTATCTGTTTGACCGCGACTGCTCTGTACAGCGGCGCCACCAGAAGGTACTGGAGGAGGCCCCCGCCCCGGGGCTGGCGCCAGAGGTGAGCCCAGGCCCGCCAGCCACAGCTGGCTGGGGTGGCGGCGCCCGCAGCGCCCGCATGCGAGGCCTGCTGCTTGCTCAAGGGAGGCCCCTGCAGTTGAGGGCTTGTGCAAGGTTGCCCTGCTGCGATTGTGGTGGGGGGTGAAAGGACATCATGTGCGAGCCATCGGCCTGTTGCTGTTGCCTTGCGCCCGCTCACCCTGCCAGTCATGCCCCCGCCGTCCCTGGCATTCAGGTCCACACACACCTTGGGGAGGCTGCCGTCCGCGCAGCGCGAGCCGTCGGCTACGTCAGCGCAGGTGCCAGGCGTGCGGGGTGTGGTTGGGCGGCCCATTCTCTGCCGCAGTCCGTGCTGATTTCCCCTCCCGCCCGCTCGCGGCTGCCGCGAAGAAGGAGGATGCTTGTTGGGTCTGGGGGTCAAGGCTTGTTGAAGAGATTCCATCGAGACCATCCTTGCGGCCCTTTCGCCTCTCAAACTTCCAGGCACCGTCGAATTCATCTTTGACTGCGACAGCGGGGAGTTCTTCTTCATGGAGATGAACACGCGGCTGCAGGCAGGTTTGGAGGGGGTTGGCGGGACACAGCTTGTATCATCAATGCTGCATGCGCTGCGATTTGAGAGGCCCATCATACAAGGGCAAACGAGCATGGGTAGCGCGGAGCCGCTGGCCAAATGCACGACAAGACAAGGCACCCCTAGGTTTTCGCCTGCCCCCTCTGCAAAAGCACGGCAGCCCGCGACACACATAAAGCCCTAATCATTTGCTCGCACAAGCAAGCACGCCCCTTCCTCACTCAACCTGCCTGCCTCCCCGTGGTCGGGTTCTGAGCTTGTGACCGCTCAATGACGTCACCACGACTCACCCAGGTGGAGCACCCGGTGACAGAGGCCGTGGCCGGCCTGGACCTGGTGGAGCTGCAGCTGAGGGTGGCAGCTGGCGAGAAGCTGCCCGTGCGCCAGCAGCAGCTGGCGGCGCCGCTGGGGCACTCCCTCGAGGCGCGGCTCTACGCGGAGAGCCCCTCGCGCGGTGTGTGGACCCGTTCTGATGGTTGCGTATGTGTGTGTGTGTGTGTTGGGGGGGGGGGGTCTGTAGGCGCTAGTTGCGACGGGTGTCAGCTGGCTGGCAAGTGCCTCGTCTATGCTGTGCCCCTGCAAACAGGCCCTCGTTCGGCCTGCATGGGACAACAGCTGTCAGCGTGCCCGTGCCCCGCCCGTCGCAACTTGTGATGCCTCGCCCCTGATCCCCGACCAGGCTTCCTCCCCGGCGGCGGGCGCGTGCGGCGCTGGCGCGTGCCGCCCGGCAGCGGCGCGTTCAGCCACCTGGATGCTGTGCGCGTGGACAGCGGTGTGGCTGAGGGGGACGAGGTGGGCACACACTACGACCCCATGATAGCAAAGGTGAGCGGTTTGTGTGCGTGCACACCCGTGCACGTGTGTGCGCGCGTGCGTGTGTGCGTGTATTACTCAGTTGCGGTAATGGCCTGGGCGCACACGTGGATTCCTTGTCGCCTGCGCTGATGCAGCTGCAGTGTCGTCGGTCTTGGGTGTTTGCTGGTCGCGCCGTTTTTGCTGGACCGCCGCGTCGCAATCATCTTCAATTCTGCTGCGCTCCAAGCTCATGGCTCCTTCGCCCCGTCTGGCTCTTGTGCCACTGCAAAGCTGTGCTCGCCTGGCGCCCGCAGCAACGCCAGGCGCATGCGCGCGCGCACACACACACACACACACACAGTCCCAACCAACCAACCCCTTTACAGGTGGTGGTCAAGGCGGACGACCGCGCCTCTGCGCTGGTGGCGCTGCGCAAGGCCCTGGCGCAGACGCAGGCGAGCCGTTGGCGCACCCCTTGCTCAGCGCGCCGCTTGCCCTCCCCCCAACCCCGTCCACGCCGTGCACCGCCTTCAGCGCCGCTGCTGCCACGCTTTGCGTTGGTGTACGGTTCAAAGGTTCATTTTTTGGCGCAAGCCCCGGCTTTGCAAGCGGTCCGCATCTTACTGCGCCGCGCCGCTTCGCCATGCCCACCCCGCTCCCGCCCACGCATCGCCAGGTGGCAGGGCTGCCCACCAACCTCGCGTTCCTGCAGCGGGTGGCGGCGCACCCGGCCTTTGCACGGCTCGAGCTGGATACAGGTGAGGACATGGCTGACGCATGGGGTCGCCGCACTCATGCACGCATAGATTTGTGGGGGGGGGATCCGGAGGCGTGGGCGGTGGCAGGGGCACAGCGTGCGCGTTGCCTTGGACACCGGCCACGCCCTGTGCTGCCGCGCCCCGACGACCTGCACCCCTGCGTGGGCCTGTGACATCGTTTCTCGTGCCTTGATCCAGGGTTCATAGAGCGCTACCAGTCGGAGCTCTTGGCAGCGGAAGCCCCCTCGCCGGACGTGGCGGCCCTGGCAGTTGTGGCGCGCTGCAAGCTGCAGGTTGGGCGGTGCCTCCGCTGTACAAACACCAGTGCACATTTCCATCCGCGCCTGTCTGCCCGCCCCCAGCTTGCCTCCTGTCACATGCGCACGTTTTTGGAAATCCATCCCTGGCGATCCACAGCGTATAGTGTGTCCACTGCGCCGCATCACCTCCCAACTGCACGCTGCGGCCTGGCCAGGCCGCACGCGCGGCCTCGGCCGCCTCCGCGGCTGCCCACGCCTGCCCCGCGGCGGCGTCCGGCCCCTGGGCCATCCCCGACGCGAAGCGGCTGTGGCTGCCGCACGCGAAGCGGCTGGAGATGGAGGCTGGGGAGGCGGGGGCCGCGGCGCGGGGGCTGCGGGTGGACGTCGCCTACCTGCCGGGCGGGGATTTTGAGGTGAAGGGCACTTTGACGGGACTGAAAATGTTTGCAGGGCAGGTGATGGGCCGCTCGGTGTTTTCCTATCAAGGGGAAACGGGCAGGCGGGCTGGAAGGGGGTGCTGGCGACTGTCCTGCAGTGGCCTGGTCCAAGGCTAGCGGCGGCTATATGTGTGCCGCAGTCACCCTTTTTCTGTCGCGCCCCCAGCCCTCCGCTTCCCGCCTGCCCGTGCCATCGACCCTGGCCGCTTGCCGCCCGCCGCTCGTGACCAACCCGAACCTGCGACACGGCCCCAGGTCCGCGGCTGCGGCGGCGCGCACGACGCACCTCTGCTGCTGCAGCATGTGACCCTCAACCCAGACCATCCCGCCCCAAATAACGGCGCCGCCGGCTTCGGCGCTGTCGCCGCGAGCGGAGTGTTTGGCGGCGCGCGGGTCATGCAGGACGGCTCGGCGGCGGCGCGCGTGTCGGCGCAGGTGGGTGGGCGGCGGCTGGAGGCTGACGCGCTGCTGTACCCTCACTTGGAAGAGGAGGTGCTCGTGATCTGGGCGGGCGGCCATTCGTACGAATTCAGGTGAGGCTCGAGACGCCCTGCTGACCTGGCATGGTTGCTGAGGTGGCGGGGGCGGCCGCCGCTGAGCCGGGGCAGGGGAATGCTGCCTGGCACAGAACTCCAGAAGTCCACGAGGGAGATGCAGCTGACAAGCAGTGGTGCTACACGACTGGTAGCCCAGGCAAGAATGCGCGGCGCCGGTCGCAGACCGTGAGTGCGGCCTTGCTGTCCGGTGCTGCGTGCAGGTGGCCTGTGCCGCAGTGGAGCAAGGATGCCGCCGTGGGCGCCACAACCGGGGCTGTCAAGACGCCCATGCCAGGGAAGCTTATCAAGCTGCTGGTGGCCGAGGGGGAGGTGCGCAGTTACTGGAAAAATGGATTATAATTGGGCAACGGGGATTCGGGATGTGCAGTGTGCTGTCACACAGACGGGGGCCTGCAACAGGTGAAGCGCTGGCAGGGCGGCTCGACAAGCTGGTCCATGCAGCCTGGCCCCTGATGTCCGCTTGAGGGTTCAGGACAGCTGCAGGCCCCCATGCGGCGCCAGCACGGTGCTTGCTTACGGGCTTTGCCAGCGCTCCCATCGTTGCTTGCATGTGCCCTCGACCCGTTATCGCTTACACTTGCACAGAGCGTCACGCGCACACATGCTCTCGTGGTGAAGGCACATGCATACATTCTCGCGCATGCACACACCCACACATACACACTACACTCTCGTGCATGCATGCACGCACACACATACACACATACATACACACACACGCACACACGCACGCACGCACGCCGCGTGTGAACACACACGCATACCACGTGGATGCCCCCCCACACACACGCATACACAGACACGTACATACAGACCAATTGGCACCCCGTCTGCAACCTTACTCCTGCAGGCAGTCACTGCGGGCCAGCCGCTGCTGGTGCTGGAGTCAATGAAGATGGAGACCACCCTGCCCTCCCCCCGCGCCGGTGTGGTGCGCGGCGCGGGCGCGCTGCACGCCGGCGCGCAGATACTGGAGGGGCAGGTGCTGCTGCGGGTTGTGGCTAATGGCGAGGGCGAGGAAGGGGGCGGGGGCGGCGGGGCCGTGGCTTGAGGGGGAGGCGGCCGGCTGTGGGAAAATGGTGGATTGGTGCCGTAGACCTGTGGCATGAATGGCTGTTCCACGGTTGGCGGCTGTGGCTTATGTGCACGTTTCTGCCACGCGATGGATGTATTTAGCCCCAACAGACCCCGGGGCAGCAGAGAGGCAGGCTTGAGATCATCCTCCTGGTGTTGATACATACTATGCCCCATGAGTCATGTGCTGTCGCCGCCTATGAATGTACTGTATGTATCATACGCTAACGTGCGGGCACAACCGTCATGTCGTGCTTAAGGCCCATCTAGCTTCTTTCATGTGGCCTTAAGTGCTGGTGTGAATTGAGAAAGGTGTGAGCACATTACAGCTCGTGTCTTGTCCTCCAACTCTGGTGCATCGCAAAAGTAACACCAAGGTTGTGACAGCAACATTGCAATCGTCAAACATGAATCACAGTGTGATGAGACGGGGGTGGAAGCAGCAGCCGGCCTAGCTTGTAATGGGCGCGAAGCAGCCACAGCGCTGGGTGTGCAGGACGCATTGCGGCAGGTGAAAAACCCTGGTGCACCAGGGACGATGCGTGGTGTCAATGGGGCTTGCAATGCTGGGCGCAGAAGAGGAGGCTACTTGTTGCAAACGCATTTGTTGTATTGCCGTGCGAAAGGGGCTGCAAGACGCTGAGTGATGCGGCTCCAATAAAATCTTGTCAATCACCATCATGCTTTGGGTACTGGGCAATGCAGCAAGCAGCATTGGCCGTCACAGGCAAATCCTGTGAGGCAAGCCGTTGGGGAGTCGGAAGGCGTGCCAGCTTTTGATAGCCATAGGGGTGGGCGGTCGGAGGCCGGCGGCAACAAATGCAGACACCTCATCAAATGCAAGATGGTCAACAGGCAGGCCTTGGGTGCCCACGGTCAGCAGCTGGGTTCAGTGCTGTCTTGAACCCACAGCAGCGGTTGTCGCAATTGCTGGGGTGCAAAGCGAACAACAAGATAAGTGCCTTGCGTAGGAAGAAGCCTGGGAGAATGCAGGTGTGCAATGAGGTTGAGGGGTGCGTGCTGCTAGACGTGCTGCTAGAGCGTGCAAAAGGAATCGAGGCGGCTCTGGTGCCACATGGTTGATTGCACACCTTGGTATAATCGCCTGACACAAAGAAAGGCAGGACTGCAGTGTTGCCCCGTAGTCAGCAGCCAAGTTAGGCGGCGGTGCGGCAGCTGGCGTGCGTTGCGAGGACGAGCGCCTCACTCGCCAGCCACAGCCCCACCGGCGCCGTCACCAGCAGCACTAGCAGAGGCGGGGTGCACCAGTCTGGGGAGAGCCTGTGGCAGCGCAGCCATGCCCTCAGCCGCTCGAGCGGCGCAGCTTGCACGCGCAGCGCGTGGCCGCGCGCACATAGGTAGCGCGCTTTTGCAGCGCGCTCGGAGCTGTAGGTGATTGCGCTGGGCAGCATGAGACCAAGCAGCAGCACCATCGCGACGGCCAGGGTGCGCAGAAGGCAGAGGCAGCGCTCGTCTGGGCAGCGCGCGTCTGGGCAGTCCTCCGTGCCCATGTTACAGGGCTCTGGGGTGGTGGCGGTTGACGGCACTCTGAGGGGCAGCTCCCCCATGATCGGCGCCCTGTGAAAAGGCGTGTGGAGTGGGGGCAGCGGCTGTCATGTGGATGAGCTGCGGACGCTCCTGGCCGTTCCTGCATGTCACGATGTGTGACACGCGCCAAACACAACTCATGCTGTGTGCCTGGCGAGGCGTGGGGCGTGGAAGTGGGGGTGGAGCCCCGCCGGTCGTCGAGCCACTTTTGTGAGGCGCAGGCAGCACCAACACGAGGGCCCTGCTGTTCTTGAGGCGCTCCACTGTGTTGTTGGGTGCGCTCACTGCCACAACAACGGCGCCATGCCACGACCACAGCCTCGGCACGCCGCCCCAGTGCTCGGGGCCTGCAGCCTGGTTCTTGCAGCGCTAGGGCTGTCACCACCTGCAACTTCCATGCGCACCCCGCCCATTCGCCGCACGCGGCTGCATGCACACGCACCCGAGCAGGGTCGTTGCCGACAGGTCCACCAAGAGCAGCACGAAACGCACGTCACCGCACAGCCGTGCGGTGACGTCAGCAATCATAGGCTCAGACCAGGCCGCTCCCACAACTCCCAGCCATCCCGAGAGGAAGATTATCACGTCGAGGGCCAGGAAAGGCGGCAACAGCACTGTGGGCACTGGGTGCATCATGTGTTTCTGCAGGTAGGCCAGGGGCACAGCCAGCAGCGACACGGCCAGAGTTCTCCGAGGGTCTGAGCGCTCGCTGGCCATGCGCCGGCGCCACCAGCTGATGCTGTTTTGGGACAGCACCGTCCAGTAGAGATGGCCTCCCGTGCGCGTCATGCGCATCGCCGCCTGCGCTGCAACGCGGTGGCGCGTGTACCAGCGCCACGCAAGGGATGTGGCGGCGAGCTGCAGCAGCCCGAGGGCCAGCAGCAGCAGATGCGGCGCGAGGACGGTGAGCGGCGCGGAGGTGCGACCGTCACTGGCGTCGATGCTCAACAAGACCAGCTGGTGAAGGGGAGAGGGCGTGGTGCGGCTCGTGTTGGTGCGTGGGCTATGCAACCATGGCAACATCTATGGGGACTAGGCTGGTTTGGGGTTGCAGCACAGCTGCTCAGGCACGCTTTGCTGACTCAGCACATGCTGCAAAAATATGCCAACAACCCAACAACACAGGCTCAGCTCGGTGCTGGCGGCCGTGGCGCGATGGACCGACCTGCAGCTGCAAGCAGATGCTGACGAGGCATGTGGCGATGTCAAAGCGGCAGCCAGCCGTCGCCTGGTGGTGCCAGAATCCCCTTTCAAGCTCTTTGTCCTCCAAGCGCAGCCTGCAGGCATTGAAGCGGTCGTGATTGACAGTCTGACGTGCAGTGTCTGGCAACGCTGCCACAGCGCAGCAACGCGATCTACGTGGCCAGTGTGATGTGTGCTGCGGGGGTTCAGGCAGGCTGGCGGGCTTTGTTGGGATGTGTGCTTTGGCTTCAATCGACGCCCGAGTTTGGCCCGAGTGTGGCCCCCAGGTTCTGCTGCCGAGGTGCTGGCCTTGGCCAGCGTTGCGCCATTCCCGTCATCTCGAGGGCGCGGCGCCCGCCAATCACCGCAGGTTGGCGAGTGCCTCTCGCAGGTGGCCACGGGACGCTGCCAGCCCACCGCTGCCATCTGTGGGGCTGCTAGGCCTGCCATCTGCCTCTCTGTTTGAAGACGGCCCAGCCATGCCTGCTTCGTCGCAGAGTTCCCTCGCTGCCAGGGCACGACGAGTCGCTCCAAACAACAGAGCCGGGGTAAGTCTAGGCTATACTGCTGAATATTGCCATTTTCTAGCTGGCTGCTTGACGTTTTGATCTGGCTGGCCTGTACCATGCATCATAGAAAGAATTTGCCAACCCCTCGGAAGATCCGCCTGAAAGCTTGTACCAGCGGTGACAACGTATCATATACATGGTCTGAGGATGTGATTCGACTCCTCGGTGTCAGCTGTTGAAGAAGCCGTCGTCACCGTGTCACCAGCACTTTGTCACCATGCCACAGGCGGTTGTGTGTATGCGATGCTTGTCCACCTGCAGGGCGCGAGGTGTACTGAGATGGCAGCAACGGCACTTTCTCTTGGCAGGGCCCTCCTCCAGTGCTGATGGCAGCCCCTTGTACTCCATCAGATCCTGTTGCCATCGAGGGCCGGCGGCGGCCCCCCCATCACTCATGAATTGCTGCCCTCCCCGCCGAACCTTCCTCACCTCTGCCTGCAAACAGAAGGGGAAAGCTGTATTTGCGAGCTTCACAAACTTGTGAGCAGTCATGTGCGCAGCGCGTGTATCGATCTCCTTGCCTGACACTCATCGCGGCCTTGCACATGTCTGTTGTCCTGGTGCTGACATCCCTGCCATCCACAACGAGTACGATGGTGCACGCTAGACAGTTACAGCTGAAAACAAGCTTGAGCTGGACAAAAACATGTGTGCTCATGTGCAATGTTGGCACTCACAAAACATGGCCAGCTGACCTGTTCGAACACCTCGCAGGATGTGCACATACATTCACACACATAGAGTGGCAATCCGTTGGAACCCGCACCAAACCGTTGCAAGCATGATCGAGCAACAAGGTACTACCAGCACGATATTTGCCCTGAGTTCTGACGTACACCAAGGCGTGCTTTTGCAAAGGACAGAGGCGGGAAGCCGTACAAGCCTGTGGACGGCGAGCGCAACAACAGCGGTCAGTGCAAAACCACAGTGCAGAGGTTTACAGAAACCGGGCGTGCCGAGGACGGCACTTGGTTGCAACGGGCCATTGGGAGCGCATGATCAGGCATATCTGTGCGGGTTGGAGGAGGGGTCCTTGACAGATGGATTTGATTCGTATAAAGCTGCCAGCACATCAATGACGCGCAAACACCTTTTTGAAACACATCGTCTTTGTGCCTCATTCATGCTTCGTACGGTGACAGTCAGCAGTGGGTTGGCATATGGGCCTTGCTTCAATACCACGGTACAAGAAGTGGCGTGCAAGCCGATGGCAAGTCAAAAGCTGTATTAGGAACCATGCGGGTTGTGGTGTCGCGCATTGCACAAAGACGCAGGGTGTGTGAGTAAACAACCCAGTACAAGTCGTCGTGCCTACCCACCATTGCTGCCTGGACCAGCGATGCTGATAACAGTGACACAGCAATTGTGGCGATGTGTTTTGGCTAGGTGCAAAATGGCATGGGCAGAAAACTGCCCAAACAGCACGTTGAATAGACAGCAACGTGGTAGCATGCATGAGGGTAGGAGTGCAGGAAGCGAGGAATATCACCAAGGGCTGCTTGTGCCTATTCATTCAATCAACGCACCACAGCATGCCTAGACGATGGCAGGCCCAGGCCATTCCCTTAGAAAACGTGCAACAAACTGTTGGCTAGAGTACTGTGTCTCCCCCAAGTCAGCAGCCCGATCAGGCGGCGGAACGGCAGCTGGGGTGCGTTGCCAGGACGAGCGCCTCACT